AGGCAATTTGGAAACAAATTCAAGATAAAAACCTAAGACTGGCAAAAGGATAATTTACTTTAAGTGAGTAAGTATAATGCAGTTCAAAATGAGGCAGGAGAGAAAAGCTTTAGAAGATGTAAAAATAAATGGTTCTTTGTGTCTTTACAACCCAAACTCTCTGAAAACGATAACTGAGAATACGACCTTCCGCTGTGCTGACAAAGTGACATCAGTGAACATCACTAATGGTGCTGAAAGATACTCTGAAACAGCAGGGTCTATAGAGACACACACAGTTCGAACTAAGTCTATTCTTCCACATAACAGACCTTGATATCTAAAGCAGAAAATAATATTGAGCAGATTAGAATCCCCTGTCCCTTGATGATTTTGTTTATTTGTATCCTAATATACATAGCTCAAGCTATAAAACTGCCCCCCAGAAATTTTTATTTGAATCTATAAATGACACTTTTATTACTTAACTACTCGTAACAATTATGGTATGATAATAAGGGATACATTAGGTCCTTTAAAAAAGCAATATTGCATTCTGATAATATGGAATTTTTAAAAAGATTTAATTTATTTATTTTGAGAGAGAGGGGAAGGAAGGGAGAAAAAGAGGGAGAGAAGCATCAATGTGTGGTTGCCTCTCATGCCCCTCCTGCTGGGGACCTGGCTCATAGCCCAGGCATGTGCCCTGACTGGGAATCAAACCAGTGACCCTTTGGTTCGCAGGCCAGCACTCAATCCACTGAGTCACACCAGCCAGGGTGGAATTTTTTTAAAGTATAAAAACACAGCACAAATTTCTTTAGTTAAAGATCAGTTAACTACTATTAATGAACTTATTTGAAGACTTAACTAAAAAAGTCAAATGATCAGTGTCAAATATAGATATCTATGTATGAAAAAAATGTACCTACTAGGCACAGCAATAGTCTGGTCACTTAAGAAGTAATAAAGCATACTGAGATTCCTCCTGTACATGTGGACCATAAAAAACCCAGAAGCCTTTTGTCTTTTAACCACTTGCCCATTCCAAAGTGAAGTAAACCCTACCAACTGAACTTGGCCATTCTAGGAACAAGACTTTAACCTGCCCTGATCAGTTACTCATTTACATATTATAATCCTATTGGGTTCATAAGACACTTTTGAGGAGTTAAAATTCCTTGACTTAACAGCCAAACCAGTAACATGTAATGCTGAACTAAAAGTGTTATAACCAAAGAATATTCATAGCAGGACACCTATTTCATGGTGTTGTTAATCCGACATGTATTCTTTCACTTATTCATTTATTTAACATCTAATTCCTGAGCTCGGACCACATGCCAGGCCCCGTTGAGGCCCAGGGCCTGCACACGCAGACCAACGGCTCTGGCCGACTCCAGATCCGACAGTTGACATGTGAACTCCCAATGCAAGATGGGGACTGGGTCACATCAGAAATAAACCCAGATGATTTGACTGGGGAAAAGTGGAGGACAGACTGCTAAACCATGAGGTCAGGGAATGGCAGACTAAGTGCCAGCAACAACACACGAGTGGGGCGGGGCAGGGGTGCGGGGAGAGCGGGAGATAAGCTGAGGGAGGCAGGGGAGTCTCAGCTCTGCACGGCTTCCAGTTTATCACAAAGAACAATGGGAAGATCTCCGAGGGTTTCTAAACAGAGGAGTATCTGGATCTAATTTTTTCTAAAGATCACCCCTGAGGCCAAATTCTGGCAGTTAAAGCAGATATGAGAAGAGCAATTAGGAGACTTTTTAGTGATTTTGGCAGGAGATGAGGGTGGCTATACAAGGAAGAGAGGCAGATTAACGCAGGGATACTGGGGAGTTAGATCTGATAAGACAAGATGATGGATTAGATAGGGAAGGGGTAGCAAAGGCAAGGGGAAGCTCCAGGCTGTCTTGATGCCACGGGCTGAGTTGGGGAACTACTTAGTGGAAGCTGAGGGGCAGTGGGAGTAAAGCAAGACCCCAGGGTGGGGCCAGGTTAACTTTAAATGTGTATTAAAAGCCAACCAAATATGTCAAGGAGACAGTTGGATATAAAAACCTGGAGCTCCTTGGAGAGTCAGGGCTAGATTTACAAATTTGATGGTCGCCAGGTTATTGCTAATAATTGAAGCTGTAAGGTTGGATCTAGCTAGAAAGTGTAACTGGAGTAGTGGCCCCAAGACCCAGCCCGAGGGCAGCCCACCACTGAGAGTCTGAGTAAAGAAAGCCAGCCAGCACAAGAGACGGTGGAGGCACCTCGGCCAAAGAGTTTGGAGGAAAATCAGACAACACGGCATCCTGGAAATGACAAATACAGGACATTCAAGGAGAGAGTGCTCAATTCTGTCAAATGCTGTGAAAACATCAAGCCGAGATAAGGACAGAAACACGACCACTAGATGTGGTAAAAATGGCGGATACTGGTCACTAGGAACAGAGATTTTAGTGAGTTCTGGGGTTGGAAATCTAGTAGGAGTCAACTGACGGAAGAACAGGATGGGAAAATACTGAGATATTGCTTCTGGCTACTGTGAAGGGCAGAGAAAAATGGGGTAGAATCTGGAGAGGAATAAAGAGTCAAGGGAAATATCAGAGTAGGTACAAATGTGAATGAGACTGATCTGATGAGAAAGGACAACTTGGAGATGGAGAAGAATGTTTTAGAAGAAGGAAGAGGAGAGAGTATGCAGGGCGCAAGTAGAGATGTCGTCCTCAGACGAGGACAGGAAGGCTCCACCCACTGCAACAGGAGGAAAGTCTCGGAGTGTGAGTTCACATACAAGTAGGCTGGTACGTCCTGGAGTGGATGCGTGGTTACTTTGGGATCAGACAAAGCGCACAAACATGGTATACAATATCAAAGCTAGTGTACTTCAGTTACACAGAGTAATGATGGTAACATCTACTGCCACCTTAGACAAGTTTAAGGTAGTATAGAGGGGGGTTTGAGGGTGTATCTTAGATATTGCTTTTGCCCAATTAAAAATTTGATGCACCAATTTCTTCCCCTTGCATCCCTGTACACTGCAGATGTGTTGCACACTCTTTGGATCATCGTATAATGCAAGTTCCTCCTGTCAAGAATGCAAGTTCTATCCTGCTCCCTGGTCCTCTCTGATTTCCCAGTACAATCAGGACTCATTCATTTCGTGCTCATAGATCTTGTCTCAAATAGAGACAAGGATGGGGCCAAGTATTTTACAATGAAATACCATTGTCTCTCCCACTGTGAAAAACCTAGTATTAGCTATGAAGTAGGCACTTAAATTCTTGCTGACCAATTTATGTTTTCAGAGTTGAATGGCTAACAGAAAGTTTTATGAGGCAAATCTTTGGCTAGCACAATATGCAGAATTCCTAATAGCACCTGCTGGTTGTTGCTGGTAAACACTGAAATCATTCGCCAATTTTCTTCTTTACAATACTATCCAATTAGTTTGTTCGTGGAAAAGCCTAGAATGTATGTCAATCAAAAGCATACTACTGAGTTAAATACAAGCTATCTTCCTGCTAAGGTTTGCATCCACTTCCTTAGGGGAAAAGCTTTGGTCTAAAAAAAAAAAGTATTCAAGTGCAAGAAGCTTTAAGGAGAATGTGACATTAAGAATCGAGGACCCAGTGCTACTTGTTTTCTGTAGCATAATATGAATTTGAAATCAATTTAGTAATCTCCTTAGTGAAAAAATATCACTAAGAGAATACTTGCCCGTACAGCCTATTTTGTCTTGTCTTAGATCAAAGTTTTCTGCAGAATGGACTGAAAGCTTAGCAGATTTTAAGTATACAGATTTCTAGGTTGTTAAATTATGTGAAGAATAAGTTTAATTCCAAATTTAAGTCCTAATTTTCAAGCCATTTACGGCTACTTGCATGTTCTTATATTTACATCAAATTGCAACTATCTTTCTTTTAAGAAGTGATCGTATCATTCGACAGTACTGCCCTTTAATTTTACCCAACAGGTTAGCACGAAGGTTAACACATTAACAGTTGGAATAGCATTTAACCAGAGGCCTCGTGCACCACACACGGCAGTCAGCAAGCTCCAGGGAAGGTGGTGAGGACGGTCACTGTCAAACTGTGTCACTCTACAAAGTGCCGACAGAAGGAACTGTTCCCTTTTTCTGTGCCACATGTAAATTAATAAAATAATATGTACTTATAGACATCAAGAGACTTAGAATTTTAAACTATATGAAAACCTGTATCAAAAATATCATTAGTAATACTTTTTCACTGGGATCCCATAGTCCTAGACAATACTAATTTTTTAAAGGCACTTTTTCATAAATTGTTTTAATTGAATCATCTAATGAATTCCATAAGCTGCACTGGCATTTTTTAACATTTTCATTTTCAGTGCTTGTATCTAATGACCTCATAACAGTCACCCAGTCTATAGGTAAGAAACAAACCTTTTAAGCTATTGTTCTGAGTTTCTATTTATTTCTCACTAACCTACACATGAATTTTTATACTGTTTTCACTCACACCCTAAATTAAGTTCTAACCAGTGGTAAAATGGTGAAGTTTACATTGTTGATTTAATAAATAAATCCAGACAATTTAGAATTATTTTAAAATTAAGCAATAAACTATGATCTATTAATTCTTTTAGTGGGTTATTGGTGGGGTGGGGTGGATTTTTTTTAATCACCTGGAAAAAAAGATAATAATCTTTCTCTTAAAGCTTTTTTCTCCCACGTGGAGGCAATACACCTTAAAATGGAGGTTAATAAGCAATTAATGGCACAGACTTAACTAAAATATTGTAAATGTGACAGCATAGTATCTTGGTAAATATGAGAATTCTGAGAGCCATACAATTAAAGACTTTGATATGCATAAGATCAATGGACATGACTTATCACTATTTAATATGAGCTTTAATTTTTAAATGCCATGTTCCAGTGAAAAGGTGTACGGCACAGGAAAATTGAAATTTCAATAAAGAATCAAGACAAAAGAAACAAACTTTATATTAAAGTACCTTTAAGAGGTTATACTTACGCAGCAACCTCCTCTTTTGACAATCCTTTGAAATTCACCTCCAGGTAATGATCTATGTCACTTTTTTCTTTGATCAATTGAGACCTGAATGAAATGGAAAGCAATAATAAAAGCACTGCCTTATCAAGTAGAAAAGCTACCAAACGTGAAGAATGCCCCCGGGAGGACAGAAGCACGCAGGGTGTAACACCGTGTGCAATAAACGAGCTGCAATAGTTTTTAGAGGCAGGTCACTGATTGATCACTCCTAACTTCAAATTTTCTTGAATGGAAAAAGACAGGGAAGAATATCAAACCAAGTGTCTAAACAAATAAAACATCAAACACACCAAAGTCATCTGCATTTTTAAATAAATGTATTTTTTTTCCCTCACAGCTTCTAAGATCTTCCACTTTACTCATGTTTCCTAGTGTAACATGCTGGGTTACAGAAGTCATATTCTGTTTGGCACAGAACCTTCAACTAAGAACAGCTATTGGATACAAATGCGTAAAATTTATTTGTTTCAAATATTAACAGATTTGCTCTGAAATGCTGAGTGTTTTTTATAATCATGCATGAAACTCAAATTATTATTTAAAGTTCCAAGTGCAAAGTGATTCTAAGAAAAATATATTTACGGAGAAATATATTACACGTGTAGTGTGTTTATTCTTTACACACCCTTGCACCATTAAAAATAAACATTATTAATATCTTATAACCATGGGAGAACAGCACTGAAAAAATATCTATTTTTATTCACAAGTAATGGAGAATGCTCATACAAAACTTTGCCTGAAATGATTATGCTAGAAATGTTTTTATTTAATACTAATACAAGAAAAACTTTTCTTTAAAATTGAGTTTACATCTTATTTTAGAGATGTGGGATTGGCTTTGTTTTTACTCATGTTGAAAATAAAATGTAACCTTAGTCATTATGAAAGACAGGGAAAATAATATTTTTCAAACTTTGTTCATATTTTACATTTTTAAAAGTAAAATGTTTATACATATATACTTCAGTAGCATGTCAGCGAGACCTCAATAATATATGTCATGGAACTATGCATCTAATGAAAATTTTTTTTTACATTTTTTAAAAGAAAATTTGATTTGCCATTATTAAAAAAAACTTTCATGTAGTCTAGCTAAATGTATTTATTGATACTTAATTCAGGGGTTTTGGTCTTTCCCAGAAATAATAAAAATGAGGTATACTTTTTTTCAGAACAAAGTAGTCTCATAATCTTTGATCATTATGCCTGGCAGAAAATTAAAAGTTATGTATGTATACAAAGAAAATAATCAAACTAAGATATGTAAATTATTTATATTTACAAACAATATGTGTATTACGAAGGATCAGTACAATTATGAATGTCATCAGTAAGTCATGCAATCTCAGTTCATATTCATAATCATGATGAAATACATCAAGTTCTCTGTCCTGCGATTTCTCAGCTCCAACTCCGGGCGCTCTGCCTGCAGCCCTTGACTCGGATGCACAGCTAGCTGGATGGTGCGTTTGTAGGCTACGTGGTCATTGCAGGAGCAGATCGCGCCAGCCAGTCAATCCTCCTAGTGGGACTGTGTCCTTCTTCCCCCAAAATGAAAATCAGCACTCAGGACCTTCTGGATGAGAAGCCAGATACTGTTCATTCCTAAAGCTGCTGCTTTCTGTTCTCCACACACACTTTTTCTAAAAAGCAAAAATGTGTATCTCCAAAGCTTTATGGGAACCATGATGTAATTGGAATAAAAAATAAAATGATCAAATGAGTCCTAGCTTAAATAAATATGTTTAATAAATATATTCTTTATTAGAACACATATATTAATGTATGTTTAAATATGTTCTTAGTATTTAAATTAAGAAAATTAAAAGTTATGTATATAAAGGAAATAAACTAAGATATGTAAATTATTTATATTTACAAATAATATGAGTATTACTAAGGATCAATACAATTATGAATGTAATCACTAAGTCATGCAATTTTATTTCATATTCATAATCATGATGAAATACATCAAATTCTCTGTCCTGCAATTTCTTTCTCGGCTGGATGGTGCATTTGTAGGCTACGTGGTTGCTCCTGAAATCCTTTTGAAACCACAAATTTGGATATTCTGAATATAACAATGTATTTTTGTCATTAAACCATTTGTCTTCTGAGACATGTCACTGACAGTTCTTACTGTAAGAAATTTATTCTGTAGGAAAAGATATGAAAACCAGGGGTCACATACCTTGGCATTGAGCAGGGGGAGCATGGCAGCTTCTGTCTGGCTAGAGATGTAAGCTTTGAGCGTGGCATGGACAGTGGGGGCAGAGTAGTCATTTCGTACTAGAAAAAAGAAAAAGAAAGAAGGAAGGAAGAAAGGCAGGAAGGAAGGAAGGGAGGGAGGAAGAAGGAAAGAAGGAAGGGAGAGAAGTGGTATTTTAAAGATAAATATTTCAAAGAATATTTTAAGACATTATTAGATACACAGTCTGTCATCTGAGCTAAGAATCCCTCTCCGTGCAGAGCTATAGCTCTGTTATTCAGGAATGATACACAGCGAGTGAATCTATAGGTGGCTTCTCTCATTATTTTCTTCCACTACCTGCCTTTTGGCCAATGTATTACTTGTCTACATCTTTACTATGAAGTAGAAAATCTGATAAATGAGTTGAAAATTTGGTCAATCACTAGCGTTCTCATGAGTTTTGTTAGGAGACACGACTGCAATTAAAAAATAAAGATTTTTAGGACAGCTACGGGTTTCAAATGTTCATGCTTTGCTTTCCTGTTATAATCAATAATTGAAAGCCACTCATATTTTGCTATTTTCTAAAAATCTTTATTCTTCATAAATAAAGGCTCTCCCTTAGAAGTGACAGATGCCAAGAATAATTCTCAAAAAGGAGACAACTGCCACGAGAGACGCATGACTACAACAGTGTAACAAATCACTTTGAAACATAGTAGTCTTAAAAAGATTAATTAAAACAACAATCATTTTATTATCGTTCATACTTTTTGTGGCTAAAGAATTAGGATAGGGCACAATGGGCTGGGTTCACTCCACAACGGCGGGGTCTCTGCTGGGGAGACTCAGAAGGTTGGGGGTAACTCAGAGGAGGAGAGCAGGAACCCCTGTGAGTGTCTTCACTTGATAATTGATACTATTACTAGCTGGGACCGGAACCGGGGCTCTGCCAGAATACACACACGTGGCATCCCCATACGGCTCGAGCTTCCTCACAGCATGGCAGCCCTAGACTTCTTACTTGGTGGCTTAGGGCTCCAAAGGCAAGTATCCCAAAGAAAAGCCAGGTGGAAGTTGTATCCCCTTTTGGAACCTGGTCTTGAAAGTCACAGAGCATCACTTGTGCCATGATGACAGGCCTGTCCAGAGACAAAGTGAGTGAACACAGACCCACGTATTGATGAGAGAGCATTAACATCACACTGAAGGAAAGACAGTGAGATGGAAGACATCATTGGGGCCATCTTTGGGAAATGCAATGTGTCCCAGTGGAGAAGGTACCGGAGCAATAATAAAGGGGTCTATGATAAAATCAGGCTATCTAAACTTTACTCTGCAGAGGAAGAAGTGTGGAAATAATGTCAGTGGGCACAGAATGGAAAAACTGTCACCTGTTGCAAGGGCTTTCAGGTGCAAAAGAACCCACACTTCTATTGTTACCTAGAGAGGCATCCAAAAGACCAGCATCTCTTGATTCCACCAGCAATATGTCCGTCAGTTTTGACCTCAACCCTTAGCCCCACCAAGCAACAGGAAGGCTCGTTTTTTGTTTTAAATTACTTACATCCAGCATTTACTACTACTACCAGTGCTACATAGAGGAATTCACCATCGATGCGGTCGTTGAGTATATTCAGCAGACTAAGCTACTCCTTGGTGCCAAATACTGTTTTAGGTGCTGAAAGCAGCAGTGAACAAAAATACAAAGACCTCTGACCTCAAGAATCTATATTATGAGGAAAAAACAAAATATGTAGATCGATAGCGAAAAATTAAGCAAGGAGCTACAAAGTATCCAAATCCTCAAAGTAGCAAAGAGATAAATAAAAGCATAAGGAGATAAAGTCAAATACATCAGAAGTTTTGTGTTCTGATGGGATAGGATCTTGAAAGTTACTGTAAAAACTGTGACTTTCACTCCAATCGAGGTAAGAATACACTGGAGGGTTTTGGGCAGAGGAGTGATACTGCCTGACGCCCACCTTTGCAGGATTACCATGGCCTCTGCTTTAACCGTGGGCTGCAGGGAGAAGTGCAGACAGCAGAGAGGCCAGCTGGGAGCTGGCTGTGAGGTCTGGGTGAAAGGGGAGGGTTGTTTAGGTAGAGGTGGAGAGAGAGACATAGCCAGGCCTGAGGTACAGCCACCTGCGGCTGCCCAAAGGGCAGTGCTCCTCTGTGCTACAAAGCCATGGCAGGGGCAGGGGTGGCGGGAGCAATAAAATGAGAACAAAGAAACTCTTGAAATTCAATGTAGCAATAAGCAGTCTTCTGTTCTAAAAACAGATTCCTACCCTGGCCTGAAAATATTTCTTCACATAACTAAAGAGAAAATCCTAATGCAGATCAGTGTCTTGTTATAGATATAATACAATCTTAATCTAAAAAATCCTAAATTATCCAGATTATCATATGACCCGTGAAACATGATGTCCACCCATTTTTATGTAGTTGTAGTTTTAGAGCACACAGTCTATACAGCAAATGTTAGTTCTCTCCTCCAGAACAAATATTACAAACATATTATATACTTCATAATATACTGACTTAATTCTTTAGTAATTTTTTAAAAACCTATTTTTATTAGATATTATATTAACTGGTTGAGTTACTTGGATAACCAGAACCTATGAACTGGCAACATTACACTGAACATATGGTGAGAAGTTATGATGAATGTAGCATTGGGCCCCATGTACAGTTTTGAAGGGACACCAAAGGCTCCCAAACCTCCCTCCCATGAGCCTATCCCATAGAAACTGTGAAGATTCTATGTTCAGAGTCCTCGAATATTACAAGGCAAATCTGGACCATCTCAGTTTCTTAACCCTGACCTGCCCATTGCTAGTGGATTTTGAAAGGGAGAGAAGAAAACAGTGATTCCTCTTGCTTCAGTCAGGGCATTCCAACCTCTATGAATTAAGGCTGTTCTGAGAGGCCCAGTTTGCTTACCAAGGGCATTTGGCGGGGGTGATCGCTGCTTGATTGTGTTTTAAAAGGAGCAAACAGTACCTGTAAGTTCTCCACGTGTGGAGAGGATAAGGCTACTTAGAAAGAGTTGGACGAGGCCCCAGAAGCTCTGATTCAGCTGGTATACCCCATCAAGACGCATATCAGCCCGCCCTCCCCAAGTTGGACTACCAGTCTGTGACATCGAATTTATTCATTTTGATGTTTACTTGAGTTAGATTATTTTTGCTAGAAAACATAAACATCTAATGAAATCAAATGCAGATGCTATACGTGGAAAGGCAGGTCTTCATCACACAGATCAACTGTGATTTTTTTGCCCCTTGAAACTTAAGTTGGAGTTACCCACCATTACACTTCAGCTGCCAGTTTCTTCATTTTGCTCTCCTGTGATGTGAGAGCATTAGCAGCAGGAGCACCTTTACTCTTAAATTTAGTTTAATGTAAGTATTGCAAGCCCTGCTGGCAAGCCTCAAGGCACAAACTCTGAGTGGGGGGTGATCAGAGCTGAATGATAGAGTGGGAAAAAGTTATTAACTGCATATTGGGAAAAATACCCCTCAAGCAATCTATGTTGGAAAGTTTAAGGTCAGAATTACAGTGGAAGTTAAGCAGGCTCTTTTTCCTCTACAAACCCCACATCCTGCCTTGCCTATGCCTGTTGAGAAAGGAGATTTTGTTTTTCAAAATACATGGTCTCCTAGGGGTACTTTGTTTCCCACAATAGATAATGTGCATACTGAAATTTTCCACACTATTTTAATATTGGAAATGCATCAAATATTTAAAGGGATCCTGTAACTATTTTCTCATTTAAGTAATCACTATCTCTTTTATAAGTTCAGTCTGATTTATGCTGAATTTGAAAGTATTCTAGGATATAGAAGCAGCCAAAGGGAAAATAAGTGAAAAAAAATTCAAGTATGGTTTGGGATTTGTTCTTTCAGGGTTAAAATATACCTGTAGAGTGAAGAAAGCCTTTTGCTCCTTGTTAAAATGAGCAGTATCATTTTCCTAGACTTGGCCAGTGTTCCCAGCTCCTAGGTGACCTCTGACCATGAGGAAGGGGACTGACTGAGGCCTGAAGGGGAAGTGGAACACACCCTTAACAAGGCACTTCCTCAGGGTTCTCCCAGCTCAAGACCACGGAGGAAATAACACAAGATGGGAGCAACAGCGGGGAGAGCAATGGCTCAGGTTCAGGTGAGTCAGGGAGAAGGAGAACGACAGGAGAATGACAGGAATTCCTCTGGCTGGTACCAAAACAAGCTTAGCCCCAGGGGCTGAGGGTGAAGCTGAGGACCCAGAGGCAGCTCCCCCAGTGCCCGCGAGTAGGCGGCGCCGCGGTGGCTCCACGGGGGATGAGACAAAGATCAAAAGGCCGCCTGAAGCCTTTCCACTGTTGGTATTCAGAAGAGATTTGGTGGGTTCTTTGATCTGCTGGTTGGCTCTTATATGGGTTGTATTTAGTCTCTAAATTTGGCCTCGGCATGGAAAGACAAATGAGAATGGAGAAATACAGGATGAAAGGTTTAAGAGTGCTGGGTCAGGCTGACCGTGTCCCACAGTGTGAGTTTGTATCTCTGGCCCCCAAGTAAAATTCTTCAAAGAGAGCCCTCTTGCCCAGTATCCCAGGAGACTGCCTCATCAGGAAAACAAAGGAAGGGTAGGCCTAGCTGTAGACAGAGGCTGCTGGGGCGTGACTGTCTCTGAGCCTGGCCACTGACTCAGAATTCAGTCACTGCGGGGTACGAGCAGAGAGGTGAAAAATAAAGCCAGTCAACTAATCTATTGTTTGTGATCAAGAGAATTCAAAATAAATGATTTTACTATCAACAAAATCATTGATAAGAATCAGAACATTTCATTATCACCACAAGCTCTCTTACTGTGAAAGGTTAAAGGAAACTACAGAAGAAATATAAGTAATTATATTCCTGAAAAGATTTTTTTAAATTCACATTTAAAGAAGTTTAAAGAGTCACTAAATGTTTATCCCTTGTATCATACTTTTTAGAAACTCCTAGCACGCCACGGTAGGTAATTAGATAAGTAGTTAAACCAAATAAATAGATTTCCTACCACCTGATATTTATTGATGGTTAAATCAAAATAAAAATCAGAAAGAGCATTTGAAGACAAGGCCATGATTCACTTGACTTACGTTTGGAGGTTACTGCTGAAGGTCTTTCCAAGCTTACAGACTGCAATTCAGCCTGAAAATCAGGGAGTAATAATATCGAAGGAGAGAAGAAAGTTTAAAATTAGTTCATAAAACAGTTTCTCTCCTCACCCCATATCATGGAATAAGTGTCAAATTCATGCAACAAGTGCCATATACCGACTTTGTGTTTAAAGGAACTCATAAAGTATACACACTACACTAGAAGAAATGAATCACTAATTCAATGAAACACCAATACACCAGAAATATGTATGCATGTTGATATACAGGGTGAGGCAAAAGTAAGTTTACAGTTGTTCATATGGAAAATAATATAATAGTAAATAATAATTTAAGAATAAACTCTGTTTCCCATACTGAGAGCTGTAAACTTACTTTTCCTCCACCCTGTATTTCCGATACAAATGTGACATTAGGGATAACAATCCAATCTCAAAAACTTATTGAGTTATTTTTACCCAAACCGAGGGCATCCCAGTTCTCTTTCTGCTCCTACCTAGTCCTACACAGGCCTACTGATTTACTCCTACATCTGTTCATTTTTCCACTGCCCTCACAGGGGCAGGTGGACTGGGGAGCGTGGGCCTCAGCTGAGAAAACTTAAGCCAAGTCCGTGGACTGATGAGGAAGGCCAGTGGGGGTCAGGGAAGGCACTGCCTGGAAAAGCAGCTGCCCGCCTCAAACTGAAGCCGTCCAAGTGCTGCCCCAAGCTTCCTCCCTGTGTCACCAACCTCAGTGGACTGGCCCTGGGGAACAACTGGTTTTCCGTTCCTCCGAAGTATGGGCCCCACAGGTGTCAGGGGTTGGGCGAGGAAAGGGCTCCCCACTTCCCGCGGTGGTTGCAGGACCTGCTAGAGCCAGGGCAGGAAGAGCAGACGCTAGAGCGTCTCCAGGGATACAAAAGGGGCGGTGCTGGACGGGAGTGAGGGGCGGGGGAGGCAGGGGCGGGGTTAGGCTGAACTGAGGCTCAGGATTGGGGCAGCTCCCAAACTCCACGGACACAGGGGCGGAGTCTGATGGGGCGGGCGGAAGAGGGCTGAGCAGGGCCTCTAGACCCTTTCCAAACAAGGCTGCTATGGGAAGTGAGGCCACTCTCAGAAATTGGTTCACCTAACCCCAGGGCCTGGAATTTGCCGACCTGAAACATTTCCTTCATGGCACTGTGTCCCCAGTGTTTAGCAGCATTTCTCTGTTGTCCACAGGAATAATGGACACTCAGTTTGGCATGTGACGCGTATGACCTGATGCCACTTTAAGCCAGCCAGATACGTTTTTCATTCCCCTCATCCTCAGCCTCTTTGGCAGTCTGAGCCATCTTTTTCCTTTTGTCTCCGGAAAGATAAACTAATTTTGAGTTGCGGTAAGCTAAACACTAACGTTTTCTTTATAGAATCTCCCAACGACGTGTGTGTGTGTGTGTGTGTGTGTGTGTGTGTGTGTGCGCGCACGTGCGCGCAAGTACACCAGCCCTTTCCAAGTCCAGTTCATCACATCACACGGATTCTGTAGGCCTCTGGTAACATTCCAATAAGTTATTTTTTCTAAAGTTAGCCAGAGTTGATTTTTATTACTTGCAACTACAGAATACTAATTTACACATTAACAAAGTATTAGATAATAAAAATGAGATACAATTTGTTTAAAGAAGTACAACTTAGTAGACAAAGATAATATCAATTTTTTGCCTCAAACATTTTAGAAGATTATAAAATTGAATCAAGAAATTGAGCCCTGGCTGGTGGAGCTCAGTGGATTGAGCATGGGCCTGCCGAAGCAAAGGGTCACAGTTTCAATTCCCAGTCAGGGCACATGCCTGGGTTGCAGGCCAGGTCCCCACTGGGGGGACACATGAAAGGCAACTGCACATTGATGCTTCTCTCCCTCTTTTTCTCCCTCCCTTACCTTCTCTCTAAAACTAACTAAATAAAACCTTTTAAAAAAAGAAATCATATTTAAAGTCATACATAATTACATTTGTTTTTTTTATTGTTACATACAGATTTGATAAAATTCACTTAAAATTGAGGTTAAAATATTCTATTTATGTAGTGTCAAATGATGATGTGTTTTGACCTAACTAAAAATATAAAATATTTCTGAAGTTTAAGTATTTTTCATTTGTAGAATAAATCAGGTGGAGAAATCTAGTCAATATTTATCGATCTTACATTAACAGTGTGTACTACACTAGATATTCTAAGGTAAAACAAAAATCCATTTGCTTATTGATGCCTGCAAGTAGTAATTTTTATAACTTAATTTAGAGTTGAAAAGCCTTTTTACAGATTTTACCAATATGTATAACACTCTTGTAATCGTCATAAGTGTTTTCCAGTTAAGAGAAAGTAGAAAACTAGCTTTTAGAATTTAAATCGAATAGGATCAGCCAATAGTTTGCAAAGTGCACATTCTCCAATTGTCCCTGGTTTGTCCAAATGTTGTAAAAGGAAAGGGTTGTGGAAAAGGAGAAGCCACAGGCTGCAGACGCGGCACTCAGGCACACCAGTGTCAGAAAGGAGCACGTTTGAAAGTTGGGGGCCTGGGAAAAAATTTCCTTAAAATTATCAACTACGAAAAAGCCTGAACATTCTTTAGGACCCACTGGCAAAGCCAAGCTACTTTGTTTGACATCTATTGTATATTTCCTTGGTTTTAAATCCAGATTTAGTTGTTTTCTTCCTTAATGTGTGTAAATTGCGTTGTTCTTCAATCTAAAGTATCCAAAGAACCAACTTTTCATTATTTTTCTGACAAACATCAGTTGGCATTAAAATATAGTTGCCCCCTTTTTAGAAACTTCTTACCTTTGTTTCTTTATGATGCAAATCTGCTCATCTTTTAAAATGCCATCTGAACTTGAAGTACTGTAGGCTTTATTGTCAATTTTGCCCGTTATTCTGTGACCCCACACACTGGGTAAGTCTGCAATGGCAATTTTCTCTACAAGTGGGGACAGTTCTTCACAAAATGGTGTTTCCATAGGGGTCAAATATCTTGAAACCTTAATTATGTCTGTCTATAATAATATATACATACATACATATATATATATATATATGTGTGTGTGTGTGTATGGGCATATTAGTATTTTTAAATATAATTCAGAAATGAAGTTTCCCATTTCCAAGGACAAAAATCTAATTGTGTATATGCAAGGGGAATTCTAAATCCATGAACAAAAATATAGAATATAATGATATTTTCAAAGACTGTTATAAATAAGATGACAAATAGCACATTTGGTGAAATTCCACTACGACTTCCAGTGCCGTCTCACAGGGAAACAACTTACTGAGTAAAGGTATAAATAAAAGGTGAACGAGAAATAACGGAGGGGACAATATGGAGTAGGAGTCCTAAGCACTAAATTTGAAAGTCTAATTCCATCCATCCATCCATCCATCCATCATTTCAAAAGCCAGGTAGTCTTTTAGGGTAGGAATATAAAGACAAGTCATGTCCTTGGTGAACTCACCAAAGTAAAGACAGACACACTAAAGAGACAACTGTTTCCTTGCTTTCAAGCTTTGTGACCCGTGTCCACCAGCACCAGAGAGAACTGGACTGAAGTCTTTGTCTTCTTAATGGCCTGAGTCCTAGACCGCCACCAGAGTTTGTCTCCCCTTCTGCTCCCCAATCGGTTCTTAATCTTCCCTGCTTGTGACTCAAACTCGCAACTCAGATGTGACTCTTTCTCCCCAGGTACGTACCTCAGGCTTTCAATGCATTTGCACCTCATTAGTTACCTGTCCTCAGCTAGTTTGTAAAACCAGCTATTCCAAAGGAACCTGGCACAGCACAGACCAGGTGGCTGATCATCCCAGTCCTGAGGTCAGCCACAGTACCACATGACAAGTGCTGTAAAATTGACATCACCCTGAATGTCTTGAGGAGGGATCACGCAGCTGTCTAGGACTGAATGGAAGAAGTTTGGCAGTCACAAGACTTCACAGAGGGGATTGTGCCTAAAATGTGATTTTGTGTCTTGAAAAAATGTATAGAAGTGTACCAGTTGTACTAAGAGGAATAGAATGGGAGAGGAATAGAATGGCTTGTTAGATACACATGAATTCTAGATACACAGGGACAGAAAACTGTGGAAGATGGACCCAGCCCCAAAGCAATATAGCAATATAAAATGTTGAGCTCCAACCATGACAATATAAAATTAAACACATAGTAACCCATTTTAATTTAGTATATTCAAGATTACAATTGGAGTAGATGTTGCTTTCATAGTATCAGTTATAGTCAGGATGTGAGAGCATTATGAATGATCCTCAAGAAAATTAAAATAAAGTCATAATTGGAAAATAAAATAAGTCATCAGTCCTATATGGGTTAATTTTTTTATTTTCAAGAATATACCACAAAGAAGAGACCCTTAAAGGCACAGAAAGATATCTGATTAGGCTGTTTGAACTGAATAAGGGTTTACCACAAATAAAATAAACTTATTTTATGCACCTAATTTTGCACTAAATTCATAGAAGTCCTAAGTGCAACTTCATATTTTAACTTTATATTTTTGTTAAAAACAGAATCTTTCTGGGTTGAAGATTCCTACTGGTTCCCTAACAATAACAGAAAGTGTGTATCAATTGAAATACATAATAAAACTAGGCAACTCTCCACATTACCTCCCTATATTTAAACATTAAGGTTGAATGATGAAATGGAGACCACGGTGCTGTTGAAGATCAGCAAACCTCCACTGTAAGTGTGTGTGTTCAGTGGTCATTAAACACGTAAGTTCCAGAAGGGCATACCAGGGCCATACTTCACTGTGCCAACAATACAGTGAAGGAGGAGTAAAATACTTTCAAGAAACCTGACCCCCAAATTGTTTATTGCAGTGTTTCCATTTCCCCCTCCATCATCTTTTGTTCCAGAGAGAAAAAGTTGAAAATTGTGACAAAATTGAAGATGTTTTTCAATAGCTTATTCTTGTAAAATACTGATGAAATTCATGATGAAGGTATTTTTCATTTCTTCCCTGTTAGTGCCACCCAAACAAAGCAAATGATTATT